CATTCATTTAAACAAAATGGCCGCCAGTCGGCCATTTTAAATTTGATCTGAAAAATAAAATGATGTGCATCAGGAACCCATAATCTCTAATGTATGTACCAAGTTTGAACAAAATCCATCCATAAACGCCAAGATCAAGTTCTGGAATGCCAAAAATCCTTGATTTTTTATGATTTTTTATCACAAAAATGGCTGCCATTTGGCCACTTTGAATTAGATAGTCAAGCCAATATATCTATATCATGATGTATAATGAATATATAAAATTTGATCATGATCAGTCAAAGCATGGCAGAGATATAGCACTAGAACTGCATTCATTAAAACAAAATGGCCATTTTAAATTTGATCTGAAAAATAAAATGATGTGCATCAAGGCCCTATAATGTCCAATATTATAAACAAAATTCATCCATAAATGCTTGATTTTGATGATTTTTTAGCACAAAAATGGCCACCATTGGGCCATCTTGAATTAGATTGTGAAACAAATTGATGTGCATATGTATAATATTATGTATGGTATATGTGTGAAGTTTGATTGTGATTGGTTCAAGCATGTCTAAGATACAGGTCTGGACGCACGAACGCACAGACACACAGATGTACAAAGGTCAAAACATAAGTCCCCATTTCTGGACTGCATCCGAACAGGGACTAACAAGTTATTAGTATGCAAATTAGCTAATTAAAATGCAGATTAATTGGAAGCTGTTATTAAATTTCACTCTACACAAATTATGTGTCAAAATTTAATGCAAACAGTTGGATGAACAATGAACTTACTAAAACAAATTATTATGCAAATTACCTACCACATTTGAACATACAAGGTAATCATTTGTTTGCATAAGAGTCACATGACAGATTAATTGCTGAACCTTGCCAACATGACTAAACCATGATTTTCAGAAAACAATGCAATGTTTTCACCTGAAATTCATGGGATACACTAAGTATATGTAAAGTCTGAATGTATGCAAATGTGTCCAGGTTGCTTTTAGAACCCGATTCTTATTCATTTACAGTGAATTGTTTCCAAGCCCAGTAATAAGCTACTACTGAACACCATTGATGGGTCATTATTTTATGACAAAGCATGTCCTTATGAGAATAATTTTTAACCAAAGTGCAAGGTGATAATAAGTAAATAACGCTGCATGTGCTTACTAGGTGGTTCGCCCCAGTTGACAAGCCCCCAATGGTTACCATGTAATGTAATGTAAATATAACAATCAAGAGATAGTCCATTGTTAAATATTACAGTTCCACAGCATTCACCGTATATTTACAAATAAGCAGTAGTTCAAGTGCATCTGATAAGACACAATAAACAATCACATTTAAACCTTATCTAAGCCTATCCAAAAGACGAGCTTTATTCAAAAGTGTAGCAGTGTGTTTTGGAAAAAGAAATACCAGAAAAAAAGTCTTTCCCTTTACCCTTATAATTTCAATTGAAAACAGTGCACATTGACTTTATCAGCTAAACATTATTTAGGATACGTTTGAGTGGGTTGTCGACGGCCTCGCTGTGGTTTATTGTCCTACCTATGTCCTGCAGTATTTTACTTCCTTGTTTGTGCCTATATATAGCTAAAAATGGCGACCATACAAGAGGAAATGCAATATAAACAAATGTCAAGAAGAAAAAAATAAAAGTAACATCATGTCAGTCGCTACGAAGAGCTACAGAACCGCCAGCTAACGTCGACCTAGCCCTGTTTTATTTTGTTACTATTTCGACTTTGACACCTTCCACTTCCGCCATGTGTCGACCTGCAGATTAACTCCGGTTCAGAAAGTTAGGCTGAATATTTCGTTTTACTCCTTATTAACAAAATCGGACCCTTCTCAATCAACACAGTTCATGGTCACATACAATTCCGGACATGACATGACCACTGGTGTCAAAATTCGAAAGAAATAATGCATTTTGTTCGAAAACCATCTTTAATAGTTAATAAATAATCGCACACTTTTAAAAGTCGCCATTTTATGCGGTGTAGTATATTTTCACCCCTCGCACGTTTGGCAATGTAACGACTGTAAATTGCGTAGGTTTTCGGTAAACAGATGTTATTTTTGAAAGCCAAAACAATTTTTTTAAATTTTGTGTACATA